TTTGGTGGCCCCTTGGGATGTCAGATCTCAGGCCCTGTGTGTTGTGCGGTTTCACCCAGTTACGAAAGCTAAGGGCACTTGGCTCTTTGACTGAGAGAGTCCAGTGGGGCAGTTGAAAACTGAAGTTGAACAGTCCCTACCAATTACACCAATGGTCTCGTGAGGAAAATATAGATGTGATTTTGTTACTCTTCTGCCCTTTGAATGACATTTTAATCTTTAGCCCATGCCATCTTGTGATATGTGACAATGTGATTTATAATAAGAAATATATATTTGGTCTTTTTTCCAGTTTCTGATACAGAGCTCCTGAAACCCTTGGAATGTCCTAGGGGACAACAGCTATAAAGGTGTCTTGTTCTGGTAATAGGTGACTAGAAAGCACCTATGGATGGGGGCTGGTTGCCAGGGAAATCGATCATGTGATTAGAGGTTTGCAATTTTCAGTTTGGAATTTGACCTCTGCAGATGGATGGGAGAGGGACTAGAGGTTGATTCAATTGCCAAAGGCCAATGATTTAATCAATTATGCCTCTGTAATGCAGCCCCCTTTAAAACTCACAAGGGCAGGGTTCAAAGAGATTCCTGTTTGGTTAACTCGTGGAGATTTGTGAAGAGTGGTGTGCCTAGAGAGGGCATGGAAGCCTCTGCTTTCCCCATAACTTGCCTTATGCATCTCTCTCATTTGACTATTCCTGCATTACATCCTTTTATAATAATCCAATAATCTAGTAAGTAAACTGTTTTAGTTCTGTGAGCTGCTCTAGCAAATTAATCAAACCCAAGGAAGGGGTTCATTGGAACCTCCAACCCATAGCTCATAGGTCAGTAGCCCAGGTGATAACATGAGCTTGACATTGGAGGCTGGAGTGTGTGTGGAACAGTCTTGTGGAACTGAGCCCCTTAACCTGTGGAATCTGATGTTCTCTCCAGGTAAATTCTGACACTAACAGAATTAAATTGAATTGCAGGACACCCAGCTGGTGTTGGAGAATTGCTTGTTGGTGTGGGGAAACCACCCCCCACTCCCCACAAGCTGAGATTGGGTCCAGAACCCGTATGATGCCAATGAATGCCATGATGATGACAGCTGTTGGTAGGGTCCCTCTGCTGCTGAAGAGAGCCAATAGCTGGCTTCATCATTCCTTTCCTGCTTGAAGAAAATTGGCCAAACATGTGGTTCTACTATTCCTCCATTTGCCATCAGCTCTCACCAGATCACATGTTGCAACTCCTATAGTAACATTAGTAACATGGGTCCCTTTTTTTAAATGCAATGTATTAGGAAGGGGGTTGCGATTATTTTTGCTTTTTTGCAAAACCAAATGAGGAGAAAGTAACTCCATGAAGTTTTGGGTGTTTTCTTAAACTTTATGGTACATAAAAGTAACAAGAAAACTTGTTAAAACAGATTCTTATTCCAGACACCTGAGTTGCGGCTTGATCGTTTGCATTTCTGTTAAGATACTAGTTGACACTGATATCAGTTCAAGAGCCACATTGTGAGAAGTGCTAGTGTTAAAGGGGAAAGAGCAGTCAAATATTAATATCCTGATTTAAATCTTTACTAGCCAGGCCAAAAGGAGTACATTGCCTTTAAAAAGCCTCACAATCTAGTGAGAGAAACAGAAAGAGAATTAAAACATACTGGGTGGGTGGGTGGGGGAAGCCATTATAGGGGTACGTACAGAATACTGTGGAAATAAATTTCTGGGCCCTGTATGAAGCCACTCCTGCCCAGGGTGCCACATCAGCAAACTGAAACATGGATACATTTTACATCCCTATAAATATTCCACTTGACCAGAAATGCAGTATATTTAGTCCACCAGCCTCCAAATTCCTACCAACTCTGGGCCTTCTCATCTCAAACAAGGTTGAGCCATAGAAGTGCTTGCTTTCTGCCCCACTTGAAAGATCAAAACGAGACTGTCCAACACATGTTAAATAAAGTTTGTGTCACGTGCACTGTCTTCTTGAATCATTTTTTAACAGTTTTTGATCCTAAAGTTCACTGTAAAACACCACAAAATCACCAACTCAGTGGCACATCTCCTTTAGGTATTAATTTGGCTTCACAAGATCCAAGACTGAGATAAAGTAATGGGATCCTCAAGTTTCAAAGAACTGAGCTCACCACATTCAAGAACACCTGGTTATTTAATGTCTAAGAACTGCAGTCCTGCAAGCTGTATATATCTACAAAAATCACAAAGTCTTACTAAGACAACCTAGAATTACAATCGCCATCATGGGGAACGTTACAATTTGATGTGCACTTGAAAGCAAGGGTTTCCAATCAACAAAAAAATGGGCTACCTATTTTAATTGGAATGCAGAAGCCTCCAAAAGCCTTCAAAATGCCAAAATAGCTTCACTGGAAGATTCATTGCAAAAGGCTAATGAGAAATTAACATGAGGTTCATAAATTAAAGACTGTAAACTGACTTGCGTCTTTATTACTCCTATCTTCCTTTACCTGAGGACTCACTCACTAATCCTCTATCTGAATTGCCTTTCCACTCTGAAGAGACCACAGGCTGTAAAGATCATTAGGTTAGTTTGATCTGGCAGCTGCAACCCCTCCAAAGCCAGAAATCTAAAACACCTGCCTCCCCCTCCACTCCCC